GAGATGGCTCAGTGGTCTAAAGTACCTACTTAGAACAAGCTTAGCTAAAGCACAGGGACCGCGGTTCAATCCCCAGCACCACATGCCAGCCAGCCCCGCCCCCTGGTGGGCTGAGCTGGCCACACACACACACAAATAAAGAAAATTAAAAAAAAAACCTTAAGTGAAAAGCTTTCCTCTTCTGGGAAGAGTCTCCAAAGCATTGTTAGTAGGCCACACTTTTAGGATGTAAGTAAGTTACCAGAAGTTGTTATAGCACTGTTGGGAACTGAATTGTGTCTCTCTCAAAATTGATACACTGAAGCTTTAGCCTCCAAGGCAATGATATTTAGAAGTAGAGCTTCTGGGAGATAATTAGGTTTAGATGAGGTTATAATATCAGAGAGCTCTCTCCCCACACACCATCTACTGTGGGGCAGCACAGGAAGAAAGCCCTCCTCAGGTGCTGAGCTAGTCAGCTCCCGAACGGCAAGTTAATTCCTGTTGGTTAAGTCTGCTCATTCACATCAGTCCACAGTGCTTTGTTATGGCTAACTCAAGCACTGTATCTTCATCCGATTTCTTTCTCTTTCCTGGGAGTGAAATGAGACTGAGCAGAGAGGAAACTCGGTTTTAACCTTGCTTCGGTTCTTGAGAACTGAACTTACTGTTCAGGTCATTCTGGTTACCAGGCAGCATTTGCATTATGTGGATTGGGCAATGGAAACGCCACAGAGCTAATCATCAGTGCGCACGGGAGAAGAATAAAGCAAGTAGAAAAGAACAAATCCAGCCTTCTGTGTTTTTGTCTACTAGCAACACTTCTGTCTTTGTTTTTCACTGTCTAGTGAATGGAGACCATTAAGAAAATATTAATAATTTGTAATAACCATTAACCTAGCTGAAAAGTATTCTTATCTCCTATAGTTAACTCAGGCTAGAAAACGAACTAATTTCAGCAAAGATTTAGGCATTTACAATGTTAATATCAATGCTTACATAACAAGTAATGAATCCTTTTTCACAGAGAGGTGTTATTTCAGCAGCACAGTTTTATTTTTCAATTTGAATGCCCAGGCTGGGCTGGGGAAGATAGCTCAGTGGTCTAAGTGCCTGTCTGGCAAGCACAAGAACCTGAGTTCAATCCCCAGCCCTTCCTGCCATGCCAGCCCTGAAATAGCACATGGTGGCACACACCCATATTCTCAGTGCTGGGGAGGCTGAGACAGGAGGATCACTATGAGTAGCGAGACCCTGTGCCAAATAAATAAAGTTTGAATGAACATGCTTTTAGACAACATATATATTCTTCCTTCCACCAAACTACTGCCACGCCCTACTGTCAGCTTCATGAGAAAAAGAGATAGAAAGAAGAGTAAAAATCAGACATACAAGTCTCACTTTCAAAGAGCAAAATGTCTTAACAAATGCATCACAAAGTAAATGTAAAAAAAGAAATACGTAAGACACAGACAACTCAAAAGCAGGGGTGACAGCACTATAGCATACTAGTTATAAGCAAGATATGAGCCAGACCACCTTCCTTCAAGTTCTGCTCTACTATTTTCTTGGAGGATTTACTAAAATATATCTATCTGTACTGCACTACTATTTCCACATCTGTAAAATGGGAGCAACAGTACGACCTACTTGGGTAGTTACCAAGAACAGTTCTTGGCACATTGAAGTACTGCTGTTCTCACCCCCACCACCATCATCATCATCATCACTGCTGAAACTCCAATGTCAAGAAAGACTTCCCAAAAGAGAAATATGAAATGTTTTGTAAAAATTAATTATGCCTTAGAAGCAAGACAAATGAACACAATTACTCTGGAAAGAAACCACAGCACATGTAAAAGCTCCCGAGCACATGAGAGCATGATAAATTCAAGTAATTGCAGGTTGGAGCTGAGCCTCCCTGCAGGGAATCCAGGCTCAGGGAGAAAATGCTCCCTGCCTCCTTCATTAAAGCTTCTCTCTTCACTCTCCCCATGGGCTTCAATTCTCACTTTAGAGCCCTCCTGAGTACTGGGTACCCAGTCCCCTCCTGTTCTTCCTCACACTGCTATTTTCCAGTGTCTGAACGCCAGGTCTCAGAGACGCTGTTTCTCTGCTGCTCACCACTCTACCATCTTCCCGGAAGTCAAATTCAAGTAACTACAAGCTGATTAGGACTACACTGTAGGCCATAAAGCAGCAGGATCAAGTCAGGGGAGTATAAAGCTAGAAAATATGGCAATGGATAGATTATACAGGGTCTTAGACACAAGGCCACAGATGTGGGCTAGTTAAGAAAGAAAATAGGAACTGGGCCTGGTAGTGCACACCTCTAATCCCAGCACATGGGAGGCAGAGGTAGGAGGGTCACAGTGACTCCCAGGTCAGTCAGGACTACACAGTAAGACTGTTTCAAAGAACAATAAATTTTTAGAAAGAAAAAATTAGTTCTGGGTTATGGAACAATGAGCTAAGAAGATAGTGCTCAGACGCAGGAAGACTCTAATAGAGTAGTTTTTTTTTTAATATATTTATCTGATGTCTGCTAAAGTCATTCATTTTTAGCCCCAACTGTTTACTTTTTGCAGGAAAAAGCCAAAAGTCCTTAAGATTCTCTACCTATACACGCTTGAGGCCCGAACAGTCTTCAACCCTCAAGATCCTCCTTGGACTCTTCTCCCTGGAGCAGAGGGCTGTAGATCTATTTTATTCCTAAACAGGGCTCATTTATTCAGCTTAACTTTGACCCTGAAAGATTACACTCATATCCATTTTCTGCATTATAGAGACTTCTTTATATTCTTTACCCAACAATAATTTCTGCTCTTTCACTGGTTTTCTAGTATCTATTCATGGCACCAGGGACATGAAATAGTACTGTAAACTCACAAAACTTATTTTATCTTTAAAGTAATACAATCAATGTACCTTGCAAGACATCATCTCAACACCTGATTCTTCCTCTCACTCAACAGCCAAATACCTCTGAATAAAATTATGAAGTGGCTCACTTAACCCAAATGCCACAATACAAAACCTACGCCATGGGAGATGTGCACAACAAAACACAAAGTGAAGGCAGGTTAGCACAGATCCACACGCACATACAAGGGCCAGGGCAGTACTAGAAACAACTGCAAGGACCAGTGCCCTAAAGGAAGGAATGTGTTCTCCCCGTTTCTTCTGTGTGAGGCAGAAGTAGGCTTTCTCGATGCAGCTTGTCTTTTCTACTTAAGAGAGAACTAGATATAGGAGACAGTTCCACTTAAATCTACCAACAAAAAAAGCACAATTTCAGAGACAAAAATGTACTCATTGGAGCAAAAACAAATCTACAAGCTCAAAATGACAGATTCTGATTGTTACAGAATCCAAGCCATGAGCAGGGAGCTGCTGAGATCACCCCTCACATGTGTTTCTGTTTAAAGAGCAAAGGCAGACCCTTGGATCAGAAGCACTCCCACAAGCACAACCAGTACAGCATCTGACAAGCGCAGACGTCCTCTTCATAGTCACCCTCCTAAAGGAACAACACAATTCCAAATAAACTGTTCAGTTGCTGAACCAAACTCTAGATGTTATTTTTATATTACTAGTATTAGCTACCTAAAATAATTATTAGGTATTATTTTAATAGTTCTTCACTATTACTAATTAGATAATAAAATTTCTATCTAACTTTTCTGTGCTCTAATAATGTATTTTATATAGTATTTATAAAATAATAAATGGCACTAACACCTGTTTAAGCCATACAAATGTCATGCTTCCCTTTACCTCTCCCTAACCAATCTACACATCATTTAATCAGATACCTTGTTCTGCAGCAGATGCTACTTCACAAATATGGTATAAATCAGTCTCTTTATTTCCTATTATTACCACCCAACTCCAAGCTACCATACCATTTCTATTTCTCTCTCTCTCTCTCTCTCTCTCTCTCTCTCTCTCTCTCTCTCTCTCTCTCTCTGTAGTACAGGGGATCAAACTTGCAATTGTGAGGCAGGTGGTCATGCCGCTGAGCTATCTCCCTAGACCCCAAGCTACCATCTCTTGCCACGACATCTGCTCTTGGTTTTGCCAACAATGTCCTACATTGCAGCCAGAATGATCTTAAAATGCAACATGATCAACACTCCTCTGTTTAAAGTTTGTAGGGGTGGAAGACCAAGATGAGGGAGTGGTGAACAGCAGAGAAAGAGCCTCTCTGAGTCACTGTTCAGACACTAGTATATAGCAGTGTGAGGAAGACAGAAGACAGGTGGGCTCCTAAGCCCAGGAAAAATAATGAGCATGAAATGAAGCCCACAGAATGAAGAGAGAAACCTCAACAAAGGAAGAAGTCGCTGGCAGTGCCTACTCCCTGACAAAGGACTCACTGTGCGAGAATAGCAATTTAAATCTGCAGACACAGGGTGACTAACAGCAACTCCAGAGGCCTCCATAGGGAGATGCTGCAGCGCAGGGGAGCAGTGGACATGAAGGACTGCCCCAGCTGGTGGTGAGCACTAAGGGCTCAGTCCTCCCTGAGAGACAGTGATTGGCCAGGAGCCATCCTGGACACGGGCCGGCTGAGCT